ACCTTCAATGCTTAGTTATCCATTCTTCTATAGTAGCTAAAGTAATTTTTATAAAAACCTTCTGTTTTTATAAACAGTTTTCTAGTTCAAGTAAAATTCAGATTCCTTACTTTGACCAAAGACAATTTTGAGCCCTTAAATTATTCTCCATATGACATTTGTACCAATCTGTCTCAGCTGTACATCACTCATGTTCATTTGTCCTTGAACAGAGCAAACTGTTTTGCACCTCAAGACCTACATATTACTGTTGCACCTGAAAGAATGTTTTCCCCCTGATTTTTATATTGTAAAATTAATAATTCAGTCAATATATCATTCTAATGAATAACTCTTCATTGGAGTAAGAGGTTGTCCTTAAGGTTTGCACAGAGTTACTGCACAAGCTAAGGGTCACTCTGGCACTGTAATCCACATGTCTGGATTTGTTCAGAACACCATTTACCTGGATGTATGCAGCTGCCTAAAGGCCTAAATGTGAAATAATAAAGTTAGTTTTGAAATTCACTGCATAAGAAACCTGGATTTTTTTAAAGTCATATACTTTATTGTTTTGCAGCTTGAAATATTTATATTGCAACAATATTGACCATACCCCAATAAATCTGGGTAATAAATAAATAAATCACTACAGCCCCAATGAAAATTTTAATAGATTTTGTGTATGTGTATGTGTGTGTGTGCGTGTGCGTGTGTGTGTGTGTGTAGTAATTACAAGATGATTTAAATAGAAAGGCAAGATTTGAGAATAGCAAAACAATCTTAAAGTCCAACAAAGGCAGAGGATGCATGCTATTAGCTATCAGGGAGAATTTTAAAGCTTTAGTGTTAATAGCTCAGTTTTGGTGAAAGGATAAAGTCAGCAAAGCAACAGAAAGCAAACATAGAAACAGACCTATTCTTTCCTTTGTGGCCCATCTGAGATATGACAAAAATGACACTGCTGACAGTGAATAAAGCATGCCATTTTCAGTCAATGCTTCTATTGTCAAAACTAAGGTTTTAAAAAAGCCAACCGAAAAGTGCCTGGACTCCAACCTCAGGTGGACTGCAGTTCTAAATGTGTAAAAAAAAATGCAAAGATTATCATTAAAAATTTTCCAAAGTCTATGTATGAAGACATGAATTGGTGTGAATATACTATGTATACAACCAGAGATATGAAAATTTGTGCTCTATATATGTAATAAGAATTGTAACCCATTCCACTGTCATATATAAATTAAAAAAAAAAAAGAAAAAGTGCCTTAGTGACTTGGTATAGTCATAGATTTGTAAAATATAACTTAAAAGTGGAAATTAAATATTGTATTACACTGAAATTAAACACTTCTCTTCAAAAGAAGCAACATTTTGACCTGTCAAAAGATATCACAGCATTGAATGAGATCATATCTAATTATATTAACTATACAAAATTTATAATATGAGCATTATGATATTCATATAGGATATAATGAATAATATATATTGATGAATTTAAAATAATCACATACACACACAAACACATACACACACACAAACACACACACACACAGGTCCATGTATACAAAGTGTAACATATTGAAGAACAGCTACATAGCAGATAGGAAAGAAAACAGCCTAATGCACAATGACTGAAATACTTGAATGAAGACCTCAATAAAAGATCATATCCAAATATTTAAAAAGGAAGAGAAAAGTCAATTTTGCTAGTGCATACATATTGTCAATTTAAATCAATATGACCAACTACTACATACCCAGTAGAATCAAAGAAACAAAAATATGAAAAGACTACTATAGTGCCAATCAACCAAAATTCTCACTCTGGAGTAGTTAGAACTGACAATACCTTGGAACATCATTTAGATACCCTACAAAAGCAGAATATATGTACATGTGGTGTATATCCCAGCAATTCCACACTAGGTTAAATACTAAAATCATGTACATTTTGGAAACTACCAAAATCCATATCAATAACTGAATGGGGAAAGAAATTTTAGTATATTTATATCATGAGTTATTACACAGAGACTTGAATGAAGATTATCTGCCAATAAAAAATAGCATAGATTGATTCTAGAATGGAATCAACTAAATTGAATGGACTAATAGGAAAAGAAGGAAAAGAAGATGTATCAACAGTTTTTATAATACACAAACATAAGCTATAGTGTTAAACATCACATTATTGTTTAGTTTGAGATTGAAGAGGAAAGGGAAAGGAGCTTTAAATGGTAAAATTATTTTTCTTGATATGATCCTTGAACACAGCATGTTCATTTTTTTTAGTAATTTTAAGCTCTGTGCTTATGATGACTATACTTTAAATAATAATTTGCTTCTATAAGAATAAAAACATTAAAAGAGAACATTAGCAGACTATGTGCTTTCTGAACTTCTTGCATTGAGCCTATTGTATTTTTGTAAATCTACTATATATGATATCTTTTCTATTTTGTTGTATCTATTCAGTTAATAAAAACTGTTTTAGCCAAGAGAATGAGGCAGAAGAATCCCAAGTTTGATGTCAGCCTCAGCTACTTAGAGAGATCCTCAGCAAATGTGGGAGACCCCAACTCATTAAAAGAGAGGCAGGGATAGTGCTAGGATATAGCTCAGTGATAAAACCCCTGAGTTGTTCAGCTGGGGTGGTAGCTAAGTGATAAATTCCCTGAGTTAGTCAATCCCAGTAGCAAAACAATAAAAACAAAAGCAAAACATTACAAATTTCTTGACATATCAGAATCACATCAGTTACACATCCATTGATTTACAAATTGCCATACTAGTGTCTGTTGTGCTCTGCTGCCTTTTGAACAACCCACAATAAAAAATTAAAAAAAAAATAAATAAAGACAGTGTAGATATCAAAAAAAAAAAAAAACAAAAGCAAGAAAATCAAGCTATAAAATAGGGTGACTCCTGACATAGATAAATACATGCATAAGAAAAAATGATAGTAATTAGTCCACAATGAAAAGGAATTAAATCTTGATATTTAGAAAATGAATAAATCTTAAAACATGATGAATGAAGGATACCATATTTAAAAAAATAGTACACATTGAAGTAAGTTCATTTACATGAAGCTCATTATCAGGTAAAAATTACATGTGGTAAAAACCATCAGAACAGTAGTACACTGAAATTTAGGGAAGATGGGGTGGGTTTACTAGATAGTAACATAAAAGAACATTTGACAAATGACGATTGAGGTTATGAGGTTATGCATAGCTGTAATGTATTACTAAAACATTTAAAAGTTTATGAATTTTCAAGAGTTTTGCATTACACGGATGTAAGCATCTGTCAGGACTCATCAAATAGAGCATTTGTGTATTTCAATGTATGTAGCTTTATTTAAAGAAAACATTAGAAATTTTGAACTTCATGTAATGATATGGAATCCTTATGTAATGGCTATCTATACTGACTTTTTGAAATTTAAAAATATAATGCAGTGTGATGTGTATATGTGTTATAAAGGAAATAAAATAAAATTTTAATTGTAAAAACCAACCGGTTGGAAAATACGTGCTTATTTGTTGTAAAATTCCTCTCTCTAAAAAACAAATGCCGAATGTCTTCTTTGATATAAGGAGGGCAACTCAAAACCAAGTAGGGAGGAAAAGCATGAGAAGAAGATTACCATTAAACAGCGACTAGAGATGGAAGGGAAAGGGAGAGAGAAGGGAAATTGCATGAAAATGGAAGGAGACCCTCATTGTTATACAAAATTACATTTAAGAGGAGGTAAGGGGAAAGGGGAAACAAAAAGAGAGAGAGAAATGAATTACAGTAGATGGGGTAGAGAGAGAAGATGGGAGGGGAGGGGAGAGGAGGGGGGATAGTAGGGGATAGGAAAGGCAGCAAAATACAACAGACACTAGTATGGCAATATGTATAAACGTGGATGTGTAACCGATGTGATTCTGCAATCTGTATACGGGGTAAAATTGGGAGTTCATAACCCACTTGAATCAAATGTATAAAATATGATATGTCAAGAGCTTTGTAATGTTTTGAACAACTAATAAAAAAATAAACAAATAAAATTTTAAAAAAATCCTTTCTCTATGGTTGAAAAATTCCATACTGAAATGTTAAAAATGTATTCAATAGAAAGATTTTAAGATTAAAATAGCTAATAATTTAGATTCCCTGCACCCTGTAGAGTGCTCATTTTTGGTTCTCAGGTTTGATTCACACATATGTATCAGGCACGCATGTTTATTCAGGCATATATATATATATATATATATATATATATACACACACACACACACACACACACACACACATATGTTTTATGTGCTTTCTGAACTTTCTACATCAAACATTTTGAGATTACATACAAATTTTAAAAAGACATGATATATGCATAAAAAGTATTAAATCACAGCAAAAAGTATTTTCTACAATGTTCCGCTAAATTTTCTTAGAATTTCTATTCCATTTAAATAAATGAAGCTTCACAAACGTCTCAAAATTCTAACATGTAGTCATGTTTTAATTAAAATTTGGAAGCATAAATTCAGTCTTTAATAGTATGTATTGCATAGAACATGGTCTATACAAAATAAAATCTTGTAATCTTTATGTAGTCACTTGATACACTTATAGGAGATGCCACAATTTTATGTTATTAATAATTCCGATTACTTTTGACTCCTTTATTTTATTCAACATGAACTGAAAATGGGAGAATCACAAATACCTTTGTATGACTATCTTTATATCCATCCATTTATCATCATTAAATCATGACAATGATTCTTTTAATTGAGGATCCCATTTTGAGATTATTTTTTGAGTAGAGGGTTCTCAAAGCCATTTGGCTCTTCAGGGTGTTACACTGAAGGCAATAGAGACTTAATTCATAGACTAGGCAATGAAGTGCTCAGAGTCTTTACAGTTAATCTCCCCTTGGAAATCCAAGTCCCCAGCTAAAGCACTCAGGTTTAACTGTGGTATTTGGTTAAAGTGACATGGTACAGATGCCTTATACTCACAGATATGCAGCTTTCCCTTCTTCCAGTTCTTTACTTTTGCCACTGGAGCCACTTTTCTTCCCACACATTCTCCTGGTGATGCACATCAGTAGCCCACATTGTCGAATAAAGAAGCAGCTGACATCTGTTACCACAAGTATTAGCAAAAGTGCAGCAACTCCTAGGCCAATGACTGCTCCAAGTCCAAGACCATTAAAAAGTGTGTCTTAAAAATAAAGAAAACAATTTCATTAAATATCCTAATTAAAAAGCCTAAACAACCAGTTTAAAAATTAATCCTAACCAAGGTATATATTCAAATAAAGAGGAAAAAAGTGATAGTAACTGGCAGACTTCAACTTCATGATTGTTAGGACCTATTATCTGGCTTTCAAACCATATTTTAAGCATGACAAGTTAATGACTTAAATTTTTTCAAACTTTCTTTTCTTAAAAAAAATTCGAAGTAACTCTTTTCAATATACTTCTAGATTCCCTGTGGGGAAGATTATGAATATTATCATATTCCAAACTAAAAAAGGAACAATCTGGTGAATCCCTTTCAGGAGTAAGCAGTTTCACACCCTATGAAGATCATGTAATAGAGAGATTGACTGCCTAGAAGACATAGGGATGCTTCATTAAGCAGGTGAAATCTGAACTGGTCTGTCTGAAGTTCTGGTCAGAGAAGGGAACAAAGGCTCTTCTAAGAGAAGCAAGTGGTGTGTGCAAACATAAAGGGAGTGTGGAGGTATTTTTTGGAGTACAGTGAGGAGATCCCTGCAGGGGGAAGTGCTGCCTACACATGGGGTGAGTAGAGTGGTAGGGGGGGACTTAAAAGATACAACATGTTATTATTTTATATTTTAAGTATGACAGGGTTAGGAGTTACTTTTACGGGAAAGAGTAGCATGATCTAACTTGTGTTCGAGGAGGGCGTATTCCAGAACTGTACAAGGTGGTCAAGATGCATGTGAAACAGGAAGAGAAGCTTTGATCATGGCCCTTCAGGCCAAGTGGAGCCTGCACCAGGAACTGGAGTTCCTGCCTGTAGACAAGGAGAAGCTGCCAGCTGCGGGAAGCTAACCATAATGTTTTAACAGAACTTGATTATATTTGGTAAAGTCTAATGTGGTTATCCACGTATATTTTAAATCCTCAGGCTGCTTTCAGTACATTTTTATAAAGTATTCTTGTCTTTTATATGGACATATTTATGTGCACTCAGATGAATAGGCTCATAAATTGTAAGCTCTTGATACAGACAACCCATGGCTTATTACCAAAATTTATTTTCTCACACCCCTTATTTTAAGGAGCATAAAGACTATATTTTCATCGCTTATTCTTCTCCATGGTGTCTCTATTCTCCAGTATTCCTGAGGGCTCATCATAATGCTCTGTTACATGTATCACTACTTATTTTACATATAAATGGCAGCCCAAACCTTTATTTCAAATCACTTTGCACTACTTGGAGATAGTATTTTGTAGGAGGAAGGATAAAAAGGGAATAATGATCAACCAAACTATTTTTATCCCCTTTAATATCTGTTTCAGGGCAAGAAAATCTATCTTACAGAGGACATTTGATTTAATAATGTATATTGGTTAAATAGCATATATATAGTGTTTAAATGGCATTTATATTTAAAATTATATACTTTTCCCCCTAACACTTTATTTTCCTATATATCGTTGTATACTGAGGGAGAATTATAAACTAAATACACGTTCAAAGTATCTTTTAGCAGTCTGATGTTACAAAATATCATATTTCTCACCCAGGGATAAATTAATTAAAAAGTCCGCACTCATAATTTAATTCATTACAATGTTATTTAAAAGCTCAAATAAGAACTAGGCTGATGACTTTCTTCTATGGGAGATCATTATGTATTGGAAGGTGTAAGACACACAATTTAGAATGTAGTGTGATTCATTGCTTTCTTATTGGCAAAAACAAACGAAACAAAACAAAAATCAGAACAAAAACTTGGGATAAATATAAAGTTTATGGCTGGTGGTAAGAAAGCAAGATAGAGAATACAATTGAGAAAGTTTTGAAGAGTGAGAAGAAACCTTCCATTTTATGGCAGAATTCAATTTCTACCACAAATCATGAATAAAAAAGAGGTATAAAAATATATGATATACATGTGATTAGCAAGTATGTACAGATATTAAGGATGGGATATGGGAGATGAATGGTGGGAGCTGGGCTTCATTAAGTGACGGATGTGGAGGTTAAGGAGAATGGGTTTGAAATTTAATATGTAATCAAATAAATTAAAAAAAATATTACAAACTAGCAGTGCCAACAACAACAAAATTTAGAAAGTGTGATCATTTTCAAAAAAAAAATGGTAGGAGGTCATTAAATGTGTTAAGCTCAGGAATCAGAATCAGCAACAATATTAAGAACAGTTAGTAGAGGTCTGTGCTATAGCAGTGGCTGTAGAATGTCAGCTACTCTTACTTCTCTCTTATCCATGCCCATTTCTTTTCCATAGTCTATACAGGCATGCCAATTCCCTAACTTATGTTTGGATTGAAAGGTGAGAAAGCAGTTAGATCCAGCCTCTTATATGTGATCAGAGATTGAAAAAAAAAAAAACAATAATAATTAATTTCCATTAAAATAGTTTAAAATGCACTGAATACCAGAGTCTAATATTATAAAATTATATTACATGTATGTGTGATTATGTATAACTATTTTGCATATTTTACTTGGAATAACATTTTAAGTGGTCCACCATGTTAACACTGCTATTTAAATATCTTCCCAATATGCCTTAAGGTTTTAGTATTTCTTTTAAATAACTCTGTATAAAAAGCAAACAACCTAAAATATAAATATATACACTCTCTAGAAATTTCTATGCAAATCTCTAAATAACTGATATCATTTGCTGTGAGAAATTTTAACATAAGAACCAAAATTAAAGAAAATAAACTGTGCTAATTTTAGGGAGGGAAAAAGCATGGCTGAAGACAAAAGAGTAGAAAACAGATTTCTTGTGGTAAACATTTCAAATTACTGAAAACTTTAGAAATTATATTTTAGAGGTTATTTTAACAAATCTGGAGCAATAATAAACCACGAGAAATTTTGGAATATGTGAAGTCCTTGAACAATAAAATACTTATTACCTTATCTACATTGAATACCACATAATTAAATATGTGACAAAAATTCTCCTTTAGAAAAAAAAAGGAATAAAGAGCATACAAAATATTTTCTATATCTTTCTCTTTCTCTTTTTTTGAGGGGGTGGGAGTACTCGTGATCCAGTCCAGGGGTGCTTTACCACTGAGCTACATCCCCATTCCTTTTTATTTTATTTTATTTTATTTTGAGACAGAGTCTTGCTGAGTTGCTGAGGCTTTTATCAAATCTGTGATAAACCCGCCTCAGCCTCCAGAGTTTCTGGGAGAGTAGAAGTGCTGCACCACACCTAGCAATAAAGTTGGGCTGTTTTGTTTTTGTTTAGGTACTGGAGATTGAACCTAGGGCTTTATGCATGTTATACAAGCACTCTACTACTGAGCTAGATCTCCTTATTATATAGTCAAATTCCTACTTTTGAAGTTTATTCCTACACAGGGAACCATGTAGTCTTCACATCTGATGATATGTATTGGAATGCATGTTGGATGTGTCTTTTTCCCCATAAGAAAAATGTAGTGTTTATTGGCTAGTAGGAAGGGGAGAGAGCTTTGTAAATCTGAATGACTTGATCTGAAGAGATACTGGCCAAATTGGTTAAAGAACTGAATAATTTAAATGTTCTTTTCTTAACCATTACCTGATCCAGTTCATTTTTCTGTTACTATAAGTTTTTGCATTTTTTAATCATATAAGACTATAAATGCAAAATAGAGAAAACTACTTGGATGGTTTATACTCTTATTCTCTTCGGAATTTCTGATAACAAAGTTTTTAGTTTTAGATATTAACTGTAGTGTGTCTTAGGGACTTCAAATTTCTAGAGTTACGCCAAGAGGAAAAAATGCCTACATAATTAAAACTACATGTTTTAAACATGTTAGTTCATTTATAATGTCTCTTATTATATGGTTCATATTAATTAGTACATTTTATACTATCAACTATAAAATAGAAGTATAGATTTTCAATTTACTTCAAAATCTATTATGGCAAGTAACCAAGATATACCTTAATAGGTAAATGGATAAATAAATGAAAGTACATGAAATACTATTTATGAAGAAAAAGTCTTATTAAACCATAAAAATACATGGACCCTAAATATATATTACCTTAAATAGATATTACTAAATGAAAAGCTGAAAGCTTATTGAAAAGGGTGCATACCTTCTGATTTCAACTTATGAAATTCTACAAATAGCAAAAGTCACAACCAGTAAAATGATGTGTGCTTACCAAGGGTTAGAAGGGGAGTTAGGGTGAGTAGACAGCACTAAAGAGGGTACCCTAATGGTTGGTACATGTCATTATATATTTGTCCAAACACAGAAATGTAAAATAACAAGAATGAATCTTGGTGGAAATTGTGGATTCTGGGTGACAGGTTCCATTGTCAAAAAATGTATTGATGTGGTGTTTGATACAGAAAACAGTAAAGCATGAGTAATGTCAAGAGATCTGTGGAAATCACCTTCCTTTCAATTGTTTCTGTGACACTAAAACAGTTCTAAAAATTAAAGTCTATTTAAAAGGACAAAAAATATTATGATGCTTGAGTGACTTTAAGGGAATGACTTCCATGCATGTGTTGATTGAGAATTCTATAAAACTAGGTTCATTCTTTCATGTCCTCTAGTAACTAAAAACACAGTTATGTATTAATAATAAACATATATATCTTAAATGCTTTTAGCCTTGCTATTTTATATGATGGAACTCATCAGAAATCTATATCATACTTTTCTTTAAGGAAATATTTTCTATTCCCTCAAATAAACTTCATGACAGAGCTGGTCAATCACAGATCAGTATATTAAAATCCTAAACAACATTTTAACTGTTTTCTACCAAAAAGAACAGTGAAGCAGAAAAGTTTTCTTGTCATTATTTAAGAAACTCAGATAATTTTGCATTTAACATTCTGCACAGTATACATATCTAATTCAGCCTCTGTAAAAATAAGAGAAATAATAACCCCTTTAAGATTTAGTTCATGGATTACTGAAAGCAAATGTCAATTTGAGAAAATAATTTTTATTTCTACTTTAACA